GAATCGTCTCGGTTCCACAACGAGTGCTGCTAAAGAGATGTCTTCTGGTGGCCTTGGGAAAACTCAAGGGAACGATCACCGAAGGCCGTGAGGAGAACTGAGAAAGAAGGCTGATTTTTAACCACATCCAGATGGTTAGCTTCTTTAAGAGAACTCAGTTACGCCAACCTGTTTGTAAGACTCGCTCAGCCCAACGTGCTAATTGGTAATATAGATAGACGAAAGTAGCAGGCGAGTTTCTGGTGGTCAAACTAGCCGGTCTAATTACAACAAACCTAGCCACCTTAACGCCGTAGCTAAACCATGCCGAGGTAACAACCTTCGGCGCCTGCTTTTGAAACGCATTAAAACGTTCGGTGGGCAATAATTTACACAGTCGTTTTTGAAGAAGACAGGTGATCAGCGATCATTATTCGGGAACTCATGAACTTGTGAAGGACAGAAGTGGATGACGACAGTGTTTGCGTGGTCCTAATAAAAACACCACGCAGAGTCCCCAATTCTGGGCGGGATTCCGTTCTACGGGCAGCGTAAATTCCGGAGGAGGCGGTAGGCAGGTGGAGGGGCCGGGGCTGGGGGAGGACGGAGAGAATGGAACGCGCAGGCGAGTGGACGATCCCACCACAGCGTCAACACAGCAAACCTAGCAGCGAATGGAGCCTCGCGACACAGAGGAGGACTCGAGCCGGATGTTAAGCTAAGAGCCCGCGTTCGGGCTGGAAATAAACCTGAGTTTAGAGTTTTGGTGTTGGGGATTGGTATACGTCTTGGAGGCGCTCCCATCCTGAACTTCTAACTGCTTGGCTGGTTCGCCATGAACCACGCCGCTGTCGCAAGGGAACCCGAGAAGCAGGACGTTCAGCAGGTTGTCGGGAGTTCACTTTGAACGCAGCAACATTTGGACAGATTTCTTCAACTAGCGCAATAGGCGTGCACACTCTAGGGTTCCGCACGCGTACTAAAGGTCAAGGCCGACCTCACTGTGACCTCACTGTGACCCGTTGCATATACAAAGTCGCATGAACAGGGTGTGTCTCAGCAGATGTAACCACTGGAAGGGGCTGCAGCTAACCAAACTTAATTTACAATTAAACCATCACATCGTCCGAATCTAATGTTTTTTAATTTAATCCCATTTGGTCTACTAAAATGGAGCAGACAGTAAGTAAAACACTCGTGCAAGGGGCTAGACTTGCATGCCTCACCTGAAGTGAGTCACACAATGTTAGCTCCAACTATGAATTTCTTTGATTATGATAGCAGGTAAACTGCGCTTCATAGTATTGCTAAATATCTTGCACAGTATATCAATCCAGGAGGCATTCTGATGTCGAATCAGATTCATTCCTGGCGCAGGAAAAGTGAGTGGTCAATCAGGCAGAGAGCTATAATCCTTCCTTCTTCTTGTCTCACTCGCCTGCAGCATTACATTGGAAAACAACACAATCATTTTCCTTTAAAGGGCAGGTTGATGAGTACGTTTTAAGGCTCTCCTTTTTTGTTAATAATAATAAGCGTGTGAGGTGGAAGGAACAGGTTGTACAACAGTACAAGTCACTCGAAAAAACAAAGAAGGCAGTGTATTGTAGTGTGGGCTGACTCGATCAACAGCTAATCGGCAGCAGTGGAGTCCGAGGTTTGCGCTTTCAAACCTTTTGAGCTCTCAAATAGCTGCATTAGTGTCAATATCATTGACATGTCGTTGCGATACAAGAGTTCAATATACATGCAAAGGGAAAAAAACATTCTGTGGCGAACACAGTCTAGAACCAGACACCTCCTGCAAACAATAGGTGTGGAAGCAGTGGTTCAAGTTCATGACCAACAATGAACAATGTTGATGATATGAAGTGAACTCACTCAGCTCACTCAGCTGAACTGCTGTGTGCAGATCCAAGTGTGTGTCTTTGAGCTGCCCGAAGAACAGTCTGAGTTGTTTGTCATTTGTTCATAACTCGGACTTTGGGTTTTCTGTAATTTGTCCTGATGACTCCTCAAATCGTCAAATATCTCTCACACGATTCCTAAACAGCACTGCTGCTGGCCGTCCTGCTGTGCAACCTTGGCTGCTATCTCAAACCTGCTGCTACCCAAACCTGCTGGCAGCCATTCCACTTGTTTGGGTACAGTATTGTTACAGATGTCCGCTTTCCTCCTTCTCCTTTCTCCTTCTTCTTCTTCTTCTTCTCCTTCTTCCTCTCTTCTTGTCTTTCTTCCTTCCTCCCCCTCCCGATTTTGACCGTCAGACTGCAGAAACATTTGTGTGGGTTGTTATCGACTGCATCTTCAGTCCTAGAAAGAATCACATGTTGTAGCTGTGGTACAGTAGAAGAGCAGATTCATGTAGAGCTGGGTCGATTAATTCAGATTTTTTGTTGTCTTTCCCGACGATATATAAAACAAGATAATCAGATAATGAATATTGTGCTGCAATCGTTTCCGCAACAAATTTTGAGGTCCTCATCCACATTAGTTTACTCTGCGATACATTAGCAACGTACGTCAAGCTTTGCTGATTCAGGAAACCTTTCTGTTTTGAAATCTTTTTCTTTTTTTTCTGTTCTTTTTTCTTTTTTTTTTTAAGGTCACTAGATGAGTCGTGTTTCCAAAAGTAAACGAGTTAATCGTGGGTTATAATATAAATAATCCTGATCCTCATTATTGGATCAAGAGTAATTGGTGATTCCAGATTTTTGTCATACTGGAGCAAGCGTCACTCTCCAGGTGTTTGTGTCTCTTACTGAAGTTCAGTTCTAGTAGTGCGCCATTTGTTGTAACTCAAGTCGAAACTGAACACACACATGAAACACTCAGCTTGCAGTTGTGAATCCAACATTTCCATGTACGTGGTTCCCTCTGATGATCAGCTTCAAGTGACCATGAAAACGTTGTTAGCGATGATCTGGCCCTTCTTGTCTCTTCCCTGTAACACAGTCTCTCTCTCTCTCCCTCTCTCATGTGACAGATACACCAGTGGACGGTGGGGTCTCCCCTTCATCCCTCTCTGTCCTGGGTCTGCACCTCCCGTGGACTGTTACGTCCTGTTTTTTCGTTCTGAAGGTTGAAGGACGTCGTCCGTTCGGGACTGACCAACCACGCACCGTGTGTGGTGTGATATAACTGTAAGGACCTGGCTTATGCATCGTTTTAGGACTTGTGCGTGCGCGGTTGCGTCCGCTCAACCGCCTCGCAGCGGCTCAGACTGGTCGGCCAGCAGCGGGCCAATCCAGTCGCCTCCACAAGGCGCCACAAGGACGTTTCAGCCAATCAGGTTGCTAACTCGGCACCGGGTTGGCCTCGGAGCGTTCCTGAACGGGACGAAGCTCCAACTACGTGGAGGAGATGTACTATGCCTGGCTGGAGAACCCCAAGAGTGATTCACAAGGTAAGGAGCAAGTGGAGCCTCCCTGCTGGGCGGAGGAGAACAGGAAACATCACACTCCAATCATGGAGGGTGCAATGGGGTCATGAAGCAACTGAAAATAATAGGCATAAGACCAGTATTTCTGTGAGGATGGGAACGATAA